TTTTTTTTTCAAACTTCTTGATTTCGTACTCCAGTTTCAACCTTCATCCCTTTCAAAATAATCTCAAATCTCAAAAATCGATTATTTAAATGTATAATATACAAAATAATAATTAAGAATTTGAATTTGAAGTATTATGAAAATCTTGTAATCGACAACTACCATCGTAAATTAAGTATTCCTATATTCAATCATTGGCCTCCAAATATAGCTCGTTGTAAATATTGCTTTCAACTATTCATAACTGAACAAACTAACACTATTAAGGGTATTTTTGAGATTAAAAAAAAAATGGACTTAACTCCTTACTAATAAAATTAAAAACGGACTTACCTCAAATAATCAAATAAGTTTTTTTGACGGGACTTAAGTCATTATAAGTTCATGTATGATGATTCAACCCCATTTTTCACTAATTATTAGGTGTACTGGTCATATCGTGACATGGTGTAATTGACCAATGATAAACAAATAAGTGGGCAAGTGAATAATTTTTTTTGAATATGTGGTGGTTACTATCTTAGTATCTTACATGGAGGGTTGGTTATTTAAAAAAGTGGGGTTTATTTTGCCNTCGTGACATGGTGTAATTGGCCAATGATAAACAAATAAATGGACAAGTGAATAATTTTTTTTGAATATGTGGTGGTTACTATCTTAGTATCTTACATGGAGGGTTGGTTATTTAAAAAAGTGGGGTTTATTTTGCCTAATTGTCAATTTATCATTTGTCGATTATACCACGTGACAATACTGACGTGGTGTAATTGTTACGGAAGGTGACGTGATGTAATTGTTATGCTCAATATTTAAGGTAGAATTTTGTTTTTTTTGGGGATAAATATCATAATTGGGCCCTGAACTTTATCTCTAATTTTAGTTTAGTCTCTAAACTTTCAATTATTTCAATTTAATTCCTAAACAATCAATTTTGTCCCAATTAAGTCCTTACTTCTATTTTGACCGTTGAATCAACCGGAGATTAGCTCAGTATGATTCATTTCAAACACTCAAATCAGATGTTTTCGTTTTGATCGAAGGGTGAAAATGACCAAAAAAATTTGATTGAGACAAAATTGATAACTGAAAGATTAAATTAGGACAATTGAAAGTTAAATGACCAAATTTAAATCAGAGGCAAAGTTTAGGAACAAATTATGAATTTCTTAACACATCATAATTCTGCCATACAAACATAACATGCCAGCATTATGAATGGAGAAAATTTTGTATGGTTTTAACACACTACGCGACACTGTCATGTGACGTGCACACTCAATGAAAGACTACCACAAAATCAACGTATAGGACGTACATGATGCATTTTTCGAAATAAAAAATCTGATAGGTTCGTCACATGACATTGTCATATGAATTATTAAACTTATTAAAAATTTTCTCCATAAAAAATGAGTGCAATGTTCAAACAAAAAATAAATGGGTCGTTTATCTATAGAGTCATACACCGATCTGGTTTAGACATGAATGTCTCGATCGTGTTCGACGAAAGACATAACCCAAAATTCAAACTCAATCGCCTTACTCCCTCCTCCTCTCCCTCCCTCCCTCCCTCCCTCCTCTCATCTGCTGCCCTGGCATCCAGCTCTCTCACCCAAACCAGACCCTCCTGTAGGCTCTCCAACCCCTGTCGACCACCCTAACCATTAAAAAAATACACCTACATGTGAACTTTGACCCACTATCGTATTAAGAATCAAGCTCATTTTTGTTCTCTTATCTGGATCGGTTTGGAGGGCCTGTGGTGGTTGTGGTTTTAATGATAGTGGATTTGGTAGAGAAATAAAGAGGAAGATCAATGGTGATTTAGATTTGGATGATAGTTGTTGGATGATAGTGGTGTGCTGGTTCCGATTTTGAGACTTGAGACAGAAGGGGGAAGGGCCATGATCTCAGGATTTGTTATATCTTAGAAATTCTTGAAAGTAAAAATGTTTTCTGTTCAAATACATTTCAACCGAATTATTTAAATCCAACAAAAATAAATAAATTTATTTAAAAAATTGTAGATGATATTGAATATACTATTCATTTGGACCGATATTATTTATAAGTGATAATATCAAGTTCAAAATATGTACTCAAACTTGAGTACAAGAGAGTTAAGGTGGGCTCATTATTATTTTTTCTAATCCTTCTTTCTTAATATCTAAAGCAAACACCCACCTGGGCGGAGCCGGTGCTGGTACAAAAGGGCATTGGTCCACTCTGAAAGTTCTCTTTTTATTAATCCAAGTGTTATAATGTTTATCTTATTTTAGTGGTGCCCAACGTGAAGACCATGACCCGTATGAAAATGAGCCTAGTTTCGAATTATTTACATTTGTTGGGCCATTCATTGTCAACTTGTTCACATTTCCTCTACTATTTATTTATTTTTGTGCATTATTATTATTGGTTCAAGGTCATGTATAATTCTTTCCTCTTTAAAATTCTTTATTGTTAAATTGCTAGTACATTAACGTGTTTAAAGACTTCTTAAACTTTTCCTTTAGTTGTAGCGCGTAACCCATCAAGGGTCTCCTTGATTCTTGAAGCCGCAGGTATCTTCCTTTAATAGCCGATGCTATGTTTTAACAATGTTTTTTTTCCATATTTAATATTTTATTGTTTGATTTTTAATCAATTGTGAATATTGTTTTTGGATGTCTATTGAGAAAATTTATGGAGGCTAAATGTTTTCAAATGACATCATTTTTTTTTAACAAAAGGCTTGTAATTATTTTTTTGTTTTAATTGTATACACTATGCTTACTTAAAGCAAATTTTGAAGTATTAAATGTAGCATAATCAAAAAATTAAATATATTATTTTACTTTGTGTAAATTGTGAGAAAAAAAAATTAAAACCTTATTAAAATGTTCTAAATCCACCTAGTCTGGCTCCGCCTTTCTACACACATCACCGCTCTACGTTATCTTTAATCGTGTCACATCAAGTAGGGTAGATGAGGTGTTGTACGTATCATTATTATACTCGAAATTACAAATCTCTTTCATTGAAAAAGTCAATTCACAGGTAGGTGGAAATGGCGGTGGACTGAATAAAAATTGGTATTTGTATTGTTTGGATAGGGAATGAACCATATCATATGTATTAGATGATATATGTATACGGAGATACCCGCATAAACTCATGCGGGAATGAAGGCGAGGATGAACTGACACTTATCCACTCCCCATCCCGCTTTATCCGTTATTATATATATACGTTGTTATGAATACAAATTTATATATTATTGAATGATTTTTTTAAAAAAAAAATATTTTATTTTTTGACTTTTTTTTTTCATAGTTTTGACTTGTCAAAGTGTAAATTTTTGTGTTTTTTTTATATTGGATTATATTATGTTGTGCTACGTGATATTGTGTTAGATTTATTTGGGAGACAAGCTTTTGATTATGTTATGATATTTTATAATTATATTAAATTATTTAAAATGTTAGATTTATTTAAAATTTTAGATTATATTGGTTAAGGTTTGAACTTGGGCTTGGTCTTGGGTGGGGGCGGGTAAGGTGGACAGAAGCGAGAGCAGAGATTACAAATTTATCTGCGGACGAAGATGTAAATACAAATTATACCCGTTAACAAGAGTGGATCAGAAATAGACGAATTAATTATTTAATAAGTACAGGAATAGAGACTACACCCTCCGCCTCCGCTTCGGTCCATTTGCCATCCGCATGTTTTACTCATGGTATCCAAATACTTTTTGTAAATGCTTAACTAAATTTTGTTTAATATTTAACAACGTTTTCAACCCCTGTCAGAGGTCTATTTAATATTAGAACTAACAATTTGAATTATACAATTATAAACACACAATAATGATTGGAATTAATCTAACAGTGCAAAATTTTGCCGATATAAATATAATTTGGTTTGGCCGAGACAAAACCTAAATCTTTCTATTAGAATCAATTTCTTTTCCTTTATTTTTTAGTAATTTGTGTCTATCATTTGCTATCGTTTTAGGACATCAAGACCGATGTGTTTCTTACATTTTTGTCTGAAATGCTTCCATCATGCACGTGCTGGAAAATTCTGCAATGACCATACATACGTACTTCTTTTGTCTAAGGACTCTCACCTCTTTAGAGCTCCATAGGACCGTATTAATTTCTGACCCTTCAAACCGACTTAAAAGAGTTCTTTGACACGGAAAGTGTCTGTCGAAAATTCAATTTTTGATAAGATACTGAGTGAATTAATTATATATTGATAAAAAAAAAAATCATAAATTAGCTATTCATATTTTATTTATTTGGTGGAAAAATAGTGAATTTATGTTGTTTCGTTGCACATTTGTTTAACTCATTTCAGGTTATTTCACAATCATGTATAATAAATTTTATGTCACATCGAATTTGTATAATATGTAATTTATATTTAGCAAGTTCGTGTTTTATTTGGTCAAGTTTCTATTGATTTATTTTCAAGTGAATAGGGTTTATCTACTATCACTCAAATTCGTTAATATTAAATTTAAATTCGTGTCAATTTTAAACTATTTACGCAAGATATCTCTAGAATTGTGAAAGCTAGATCCTATTACATGTCTATGGTGACATATATGAAAACATTATATATACGTTAAAACGTTCACGGAAAGTCAAAATCTATGTAATAAAATATATAATAATTTAAATTTTTATCTCTTACATATTTTTCTCTCTAAAAATATCACATTATTCATTTATATTATATGTTCAATTATTTAATATTTGATTAATTTATAGTTTAACATAATTTTTATTTTAAATATTACCTATATATAATAGTATACATATGTTAAAAAAAAATTAGTGAGATCAATAACGTTCTGTTATTATATTTTATTATACTTTTAGACACCGATTATAAATAATATGCAAATATTATATATACGTTATCGTGGAGTGCACAACTCAAAATTTGCAATATTATATATAAGATCAGCCTTCGATCAATTCAATACCCATTCTCTGAAACTCTAAACAATGTCTTCCTCTTCCTGCTCCTCCTCTGCAAATAACCACCACCACTCTTCCGCCGATGAACCATCGCCAAACCTTCCACTCCGAGAAATCCCCGGCAGCTATGGCAAACCCTTCTTTGGAGCCTTAAAAGATCGTCTCGACTATTTTTACAACCAAGGCCAAGACGAGTTCTTCAATACCCGAATCCAAAAATACAACTCCACCGTCTTCAGAACCAACATGCCACCAGGTCCATTCATTGCTTCCAACCCTAAAGTCGTCGCCGTTCTCGACGCCGTTAGCTTCCCAATCCTCTTCGACACCTCAAAAGTCGAGAAGAAAAACGTTCTTGACGGAACTTTCATTCCCTCCACCGCCTTCACTGGCGGTTACCGTCCTTGTGCCTACCTTGACCCCTCGGAACCATCCCATGCCGCCCTAAAAGGCTTCGTTCTCTCTGTCCTATCCTCTTTCCATAATAAATTCATTCCCTCTTTCCGTCTATGCTTGTCAGAGTTCTTCACCAACCTTGAAGATGAATTAGCTGATAAAGGGAAAGCAGATTTCAATACCCTTTCTGACAAAATGTCATTTGAATTTGTTTTCCGGTTGTTTTGTGATCGGAGTCCATCCGAAACCAGTATCGGATCGAACGGACCGAAATTTACTGATCTATGGTTGTTTTTCCAGCTTGCTCCATTAATATCACTAGGGTTGAAGTTCTTACCAAATTTCATTGAAGATCTAATGTTACACACATTTCCTCTCCCTTTTTTCGTCGTAAAATCGAATTATAAAAAGCTTTACGATGCTTTTTATACGTCAGCTGGCTCGATTTTGGACCAAGCAGAGAGAGTTGGCATCAAAAGAGACGAAGCTTGTCATAACCTAGTGTTTCTTGCTGGTTTCAATGCTTATGGGGGCATGAAGACTCTATTCCCAGCATTGATCAAGTGGGTTGGCACTGCAGGAGAGAGTTTACACCGGCGGCTGTCTAATGAGATCAGGACCGTTGTTAAGGAAGAGGGTGGGGTCACTCTATCAGCAATGAACAAAATGACTTTGACCAAATCAGTGGTCTATGAAGCATTGAGGATTGAACCTCCGGTACCGTACCAATACGGTAAGGCCAAAGAGGATGTCGTGGTCCACAGCCATGATTCAACGTTTAAGATCAAAAAAGGTGAGATGATCTTTGGATATCAACCGTTGGCTACCAAGGACCCCATGGTTTTCTCAAATCCCGAGGAGTTTGTGGGAGATAGGTTTGTGGGTGATGGAGAGAAGTTGATCAAGTATGTGTATTGGTCAAATGCAAGAGAGACTGATGATCCAAGGGTAGAGAATAAGCAATGCCCTGCGAAGGATCTAGTGGTGCTCTTGTCCAGGTTAATGTTGGTGGAGCTCTTCCTCCAGTATGATACGTTTACTTTAGAAGTTGGAAAGCTCTTGTTGGGTTCATCGGTGACTATTACATCGTTTACCAAGGCCACCTAAGTTTGTCCTTAATTAGATAGATGATCTACTATTTAATAAAATTTAGTGAATGTGTAATATAGAAATGTGAATTATTTTAATCCAATTGCAAATTTGATTCCTTCTTTTTTCTATTTTTTAAATTTTAATCAATAAGCTATACATAAAAAAAAAAATCCCGTTGATGGTCCCAATGGAACCCACCATGTGGGTGATTGAAATTGAAGAACATGAAAAAAGTTTTAAATAGAGATGATTGGGATCCATCGGGACACAATTTTTTTTTTTCAATAATCAAGAGTGTTTAGACCAGCATAACACGCAGTGGTTAAGGTATTTATGAGGGTTAAATTCTTCTTGGCTTGACTGCAAAGAGTTGACGAAATTTGAACTTAAGACGTTTAAATTTACAATTCGTTTCTGTTATCACTTAAATTACATTGAGATTATGTTATTACTTTTACCAAAATTTTTTATAATTTTATTGTTTTTGTTTTCAATTATTTGTGTATGCCTTGTCGTATCTTTTGCATTGACATTTCTAGTCTTTTAATAAGAAGTTTTTTCACCATTTACCAATTTTTTTTTTTTTGAGCAAGTTGTGATGGTTTTGGGGGGATTGATATTAAAACAGTTGTAGATTTGCTGCATTTGAGTTGTAAAGAGCATGAATCTTCCTACATCACATGCCATCTACTCTGTCCCAAAACCTGCAAAAAGCCTAGAAGAGACTTCCAAACGACAAGGATAAAAAAATAATTTATTTAAGTCCCCATAGGTTTTATAGGTTGACATATAAATTGTGTACAACTAAAATATTTACTAATTTAGAGGTCAAATTAGGATCGAGAGTGAAAAATTTATGATCTTTTGGGTCGTGCTCATGTTATAATTTTTAGACTTAATTATCAATTTGGCCCTTGAATTATATTATTTGTATGAATCAAGTCTTTGAATTATACTTTGTGTTAATTTAGCCATTGAACTATACAATTTGTGTTAAATGTAACTTTTTTTTGTCTAAATTCACAATTAACTTTGACGAAATTCTTTACATGCACGTTACATGGGTCCGGAATTAAGGTATAATTTAGGGGTGACGAAATTCTTTACGTGCACGTTACATGGGTCGAGAATTAAGGTATAATTTAAGGGGGACGAGTTGTCTTATTAGAGTATCATAAAATATAAGTAATACGATAAGTACCCAAAACAAAGATTTTTGCCGTTATTGTATTTTATATAAGCAAGCCGCTCTGTTTTATTAATGTCCATGTGAAATGAACTTGGACCTTGGATTGCCCTCTTGTCGTTCAAGTTCAATATATGATGACCTAGATCTACGAACTAGTTGGGCCTCTCTTACTTGCCTACAACAGGGGAAGGACTTTAAACTTCTGTCCAAGTACAATATGGGCCTTTTTTAAAGCCCACGTGGTTGGAGTTTTTTAGAAGCCGATTCACACTTGTGGACTTTTAAGAGAAGAAAGACAAACACCTACTTTTTGGGACTTAAAACACAACTAAAAGTATAAAAACTAATTTACTCTTAATGAAATAAATAGTTATATTACAAAATGACAGAAACAACAAAACGATAATAATAACAATAAGACAGTAATAATAATAGTGACACGGTGACAGTAATAGTAACAACGTCATGATAATAGTTATTGTCATAGTAACACGATCACATTAATAACAATGTCCATGTAAGTGGGGTATAAGGGACGATGACCGAGAATGGAGGTACTATAGAGAGTGACAAAGCTGGAGTATAGAGTTGTGGTGGACTAAACAGCAACACGATTACAATAACTGTCATTATCATTATTAATATTACTGTTGAAATTTTATGAAATTAAATAGTAATATGAACTAAACAGTCACATGATCACAGTAACAACTACGATCCCAATAAAAAATTCAATGAAACTAGAAGCAAGACGGTAACAGTAAGACAATAATAGTAATAGTAACAGTAACATAGACATAGTAATAGTAATAGTCACTGACATAGTAACACGATCACATTAATAGCAATGTCTGTGTGGATGGGGTGAAAGGGGTGATGATTGAGAATAGAGGTACTATAGAAGATGGTAGGGTTAGAGTATAGAGTGATGGTAAGCTAGACAATAAAATGATCACATCAACAACCATAATCATTGTCAAAATTATATAAAACTAAACGGTAACGTAAATTAGACAGACACATGATCACAATAACTACCACAAAAAAAAAAAAAAAAACCTTAACTCAAATAGTAAACCCTTAACCCTTAAAACACATTTTGCTTAATAATAAAAAAAATTGTCCAATTTAGTCGACCATCACTATTAATAAATTTTCTATGTTTGAATAACTTGAATTTGAAATAGAATTTGGGTTGTTACATATTTAATGCATTTCATTGAACACCATTTGGGCATATCAAATCTCAGAGATTTACTTATTGAAGCTCAAAATTCAGCCAAAAAATAAGGACTATTCAAATTCAATGATACACAGATTAATTTGCACATCATTACATGTGCTTGTGTGAGTGCATTTGCAAGAAACAGAGAACATATGAGTAAAGAAGAAAACATCAACGGCTAAGTGAGCCCGAGAATCCAACTGTTTCAAGAGTTCAATCCAAGCAAATCTATCAGAATATCTCCAGCATAAGGAAACCCTCTAAGATCTTATGTGGCCCTTGTGTCCACATTGCTCAATTTATCCGCCAACAACTCGAATTGTATGCATTGCTGTTTGGATGGAGGTTTACAACTACATGGATGAATTACACATTATTCCCTTTTCTCCCATCTTTTGGTTGGATGGGGCTTTACCCATGTAGGCCTTTCTCATTTTCTTCATTTATTTTCTAACATTTTCATTGTTCATTTAACCTTCATTCCTTCCGTGACAGGCGAGAAAAGGATGGCAACAATGTCCAATCTAGAATGTGAATAATTACATTAATGATACTATGGGTAATCCTCTTCCCTATAAAATTACATATCGATGTAATAAGACATACGCATGTTATAATTTTTTTTATATGTTACATTAACAACTATCATATCAATGAATTTTATAAACTCTTATGTTCCGTTTGGTAGGAATAATGAAAAGTAAAAAAGATACATTTTTTTATCCTTCAAGGATAAAATATAGAAATAATATATTTTCTTTCCTTTATATTTGGTTGCATTGATGAAAAATAAAAATAATTAATTTCTTTTTCTGTTGGCTAAGCTTAAAGATGACAATCGAGTCATGTCTTGTTAAATTCGTGTTGAGTCATAAAATTATGAGTCTTTTATATTTCTTGTTCGCGTGTCAGGTCATTTTTAAGTTCGTGTCATAAAATTCGTGTCGAGTTCGAGTTGTTTCATCGTGTTGAGTCGAAAATTTTCACCACCAGTTAAGCTGAAAAAATATATTTTTTTTAATTTAAATATTTTATTATTTTNGTTGTTTCATCGTGTTGAGTCGAAAATTTTCACCACCAGTTAAGCTGAAAAAATATATTTTTTTTAATTTAAATATTTTATTATTTTTTATTTTTAAATATATATATACATATTTTATTATTATATTTTTATATGAAATTAATGTATACATAATATATAGACAAATAAGATATATTTCAAAACAAATAATTAACTTTTCATCCACTTTCTTTCTAATTTTGGAGGGATTGATTTTAGTGAGTTAGAAAAAAAATTAATTCATCTATTTTTTCATCTTTTCTATTTTCCTTCCTTACTAAATATGATGTTTTATTTATCTCTTCAACTTTCTATCATTCTAACTTTTCATTCATCTATTTTTTTAGGAGAAGGCTACGGTACATCCAAGGGCATTTTTGGTACCATACTGAAAATTTCAAATTACAACATTAATGGTATGCTTATTAAATTTATAGTATATTTACACCGATTGGTAGATAAGACAAGGCATTGAAATGACAAGACAAGACATATTTTTGAGCCTTCATTAAGTTAATTGAGGGCAAAATTACAACATTAATAAAAAGTTTACGACTATAATAAACAAAATTACAACATTAGTGAAAATTTTACACAGTAGTGAATAAAATTACAAAATTTGTGAAAATATTTACAACTTTAGTAGTATATTTACTAAATTTGTGGAAATATTTACAACTCCAGTGGTATGTTTATCAAATTTGTGATAATCTTTACAACTTCAATGAATTCATTACTAGTCCATTATTGATCAAATATATGTTTGATCAATCATGGACTTTCTGTTTCTCTCTCTACACCACAAATTTGGTGAGAATATTTACTAAATTTGTGAGAATATTTACAACTTCAGTGTTATATTTATTAAATTTGTGAGAATATTTACAACTTTAGTGGTATGTTTACTAATTTTGTGAAAATCTTTATAACTTCAATGGATTCATTACTAGTCCATGATCGATCAAATATTTGTTTGATCGATCATGGACTTTCTGTCTCTCTCTCTCTTGCCGCCATTAAGTTAATTGAAGGCAAAATTACAACATTAGTGGAAAATTTACGACTATAGTGAACAAAATTACAACATTAGTAAAAATTTTACAACAGTAGTACATAAAATTACAAAATTTGTGGGAATATTTATAACTTCAGTGGTATATTTAAAAAATTTGTGGGAATATTTATAATTTCAGTGGTATGTTTACCAAATTTATAATAATCTTTACAACTTGAATGGATTCATTACTAGTCCATAATCGATCATGGAATTTCTGTCTCTCTCTCTTTTTATGATTGTTCTATTACAACATTAATGAAAAATTTACAAGAATAATAAAAAAATTACCACAATAGTGGTGCAAATTACAATATTAGTGAAAAAAAATTTACAACAATAGTGAAATTTTTTTTATGAAAGTTTATAATCTTTCACAAGAATTTGATAGACCAAACAACAATTTGATCGATCAAAAATTTGATAGATCAAACAACAATTTGATCGATTTTTTAAAATTCAATTTTAAAATATGTTTAATAAAAAT